TTACTGCTCGCGCCCACCGGCGCACGTCAAGCTACTCGGCGAGCGCTACTCGCCCATGCGCGTGCGGGCGCGATCGTCGCTCTCGCCGCGCACCCGCGAGTCGGCCATCGAGCTGCTGCGGGCCATGTACCCGGACACCCCTCGCGGCGCCCTCGTCACCGTCGCCTACGACTTTCACGAGGGCATGCTCTTCCCAAACTCGATGCTTGCCCCGCAGCTCGACGCCGAGTACTGCGCAGCGCAGATTGAACCCGGCTACGTGGCGGCCATGGTTGCCGCCGCCACCGACAAGGCTCGTCTGCTCGGCGTCTTTGGCTACCTCCCGCCGGCCGGCCCGCACACCCACGACGATCTCGCGGCTCTGGAGGCACAGGCCGCGCACCCGGGATGGATCGCGCTCTACGACGTGTACAAGTCGTACTCGAGCCACGGCATCCCGCTCCCACAGGGCCTCCGCCCCGGCGACGGCGAGCTGCTCTCGCGCATGGCCTTCTTTGCTCTCGACTCGCTCCTCGCCCGCCCGCCGGTCCTCCGCCTCGCCATGGGCCGCCTCGTCGGACACATTGCCGATGTACTCGAGGTCAAGGCCGGCCGGCCGCCGCGCGGCATGAGCCCGCTGCAAAGTGCTCAAATGGCCAAGGCCAAGCTTGTGGTTCTCTCCGGGCACGACACCACCATCGTCCCGCTGCTGCACATCCTCGGCCTCGACGCCCACCTCGACGCCTGGCCCGACTACGCCTCTGCCATCGTTCTCGAGCTGCACACCAACACCGCACCGTCGCGTGCCTATCCGGCTGCCCACTACGTCCACGTCATCTACAATCGCCACACCGCCGCCATCGTCGCCCTCGACGACCTCCTCTCCGCCCTTGACCCATTCCGCCTCGACTCGATCGAGCACCTGCACCAGGCCGAGGCCACCGCCGCCGCCGCCGCTGCCGACGCAGGCCGTCCCGACGACCTTGCTGCTGTCGCCGCTCCAGGCACGCCGCCTACCCACTCGTGGCACCGCGACTTTAACCAGCCCGCCCTCGCGCACGTCCTCGCCAACGCCGCCACTGCCGCCGCCGCCACAGAGTAACCAATACCAGGCCTACGGCGCATCGCCGCCACCCTCAACATCACTCCCGTCACTGCTTCCGTCGCCTGTCGCCGAGGACGCCGAGTCGTCCGACGACGCTACCCACTCGGCCGGCGGGAGCACGTTGAGCATGGCCAGCAGCTCGCTGCGGGCCGCGTCGTCGGCGCGCGGCGTGCGCGCGGCGAGGTCGACCGGCCACTCGCCGTCGTCGTTGACCGCTCGCCGGCTCGCTCCAGCCCGCAGCAGCTCATGTACCGCCGCTACATGTCCTCGCCACGCCGCCACATGCAGCGCCGTCTCACCGCGCCCGTCGCGACCATCGACAGCCACGCCGTCGGCGCCTGCCAGTGCCGCCACCACCGCCGCGTGCCCGCCCAGTGCCGCCGCGTGGAGCACCGTGCCCGCCAGTGGCGATGCCGCTTGCAACAGCGGTGCCCGCACTTTGTCCGGTAGCCCCAGAACAAACGCCACAGTCGCCGTGTCGCCTGCAGACGCTGCCCGCAGCACAGCCGCGCCCGTGAGGTCGGTGGTCGCCGCGGGCTCCATTGACGTGGTGGAGTCTGTAGCGGCGTGTCTGAGGCCCTCAGAGCTGCTCTACAACAGACTAGACGTGTGCGCGATATGTAGAGGCGTATTGACGAGGCTCGGACGCCATGCAGCCTTGTGGAACTGGAGAACAAGGCGTCAGGGCGGTCTGCGAGCGCTAACCCGAAGACGCGGTGGAATAGAGGAGCATGAACCGCCATCTTACAAACGTAAAAAATCATGAAGAATTGTGCTCCAAACAATAAATATATTCATTATACATGTATTTATTAAAAATTATTATGAAATCTATAAATTGTACCACACAGTTATATTATCATATTATCATATTTCTATATTTCTATATATTTATTGTCGGACCACTAGCGCTCATCGGATCGCCTTTTTCCTTTCCCTCTCCCCTCTCCGCGTCAACGACCCCATACACACCACAACACAGTCTGCTACCCACCCACCGTTGCTATACTATGAGAAGCAGCACCGTTTGATCTACATGGCATTGTGCCTGGTCTGGCCCTGAAAAGCTGCCATGGCAAAGAAATTGCGACGGAATAACCGTCTCCCGACCCAGAGAGTTGCACCACACCAGCCGACGTACGCACTGCACTACCCCTCCAGCTCCTTGGCCTCGTCGGCAGGCACAAAGTCTTGGTACAGCTGGAGCAGCCGGAGCTTCATGTCGATGTCCTCGATGTCGGCAAATTCGCGCTCGACAACGGCAAAAACACCCGCTCGCGCTCGTTGAGCGTGGAAGTGGCGGTGAGTCCAGCCTGGGCGAGGCGACGGTCGGCAAGGATCATGCGCGCTTCAGCGACGATGGCCTGTCCAACAAGGACAAGGCACGTGGCGACAACCACAAAAGCAACGGCGGCAAAGACGATGCGCGAGCCCTCGTTGGGAAACTTATCGACGTAGAAGCAGAGGCCAAAGAGGAGGAGGAACGAGACGGCGACATTGAGGCGTGTCTCGAGCGCGTTGTACACCTCGCGATAATACGGCCGCAGCTTGAGCTGCGCGAGCATACTGAGCTGGAAAATGAAGAGAAGAATCGAGATCTGGACAAGGAGCTGCGAGGAGAAGAAGAGCGCCACCACCACCACCAAAAGCCGCTTGCCCAGCAAGATGAGCTCGTAGAAAAAGAGCGGTCGCCGGTAGAGCATAAAGATGGTGCCATACCGCGCCAGCGTCGCCTCGTCGCGGACCCGGCCGCGGACTCGCTTCCAAAGCACAGTGGCGAGGAAGATAGGGAGCCCAACAACGTACAAGCCGGTTGCTAGCAGCGCTACAGGCAGCGTCGCCAGCCACTCAGAGTCCACGCACTGGGTTCCGGGCGAGGCATCGAGGTAGAACTTACCGTCCGGAAACTGCGAGCAATCAAAGTACGAGAGCGTTGCCTGCGCCATGCCGATGTACATCACGGGACCGACGACACACACCAGCCGCTCGGTTGAGAGCATGAGCAGCCGCCAGAGGCCAACGCTCGCCGCCCCACGCGTCTGCTGCACGTAGCCAGACAACGGCGGGAGTGCAAACGCCAGACACACGCCGCACACATGCAGGAAGAGCCCGACCAGCGGGAGAGCCGCCGTGAGCAAAAACATCGAGTAAAACGACGTGATCGAGCACTCGGACGTCGCCACCTTGATGTCGATGTTGAGCAGTCGGAAGATGCCTAGCGTCCGTGAGACAGATTCTGGCCATCGGAGCGGAATCGAGGAGAGTACGCCGAGAATCTGCAGGAAAACAAGCCCCACAGAGATTGAGTGCGGAACCTTGCGCGCCCGCGACGTCGACACTCCTTCCGCAGTTACCTCCCAAGGGAAGACCGCAAGGTGGAAGATACCCGCGAGCACCCCGAGCGTGCCGAGAATGAGTACAGCTAGCGCCGAGCCAAACACTGCCGCAGACGACTTGGGGCACCTCACGCACCCGCCTGTCGCCAAGTTGACGTAGTACTCATCGGCACACTCGGAGCAGAGCACGCCGCTGTAGCCAACCGCACACCCGCCACCCGCAAGGCAAGCCGTGGCCCGCGGGCACTTGGCCAGCACCGTACCATCGCCATTGACATCAAAGTAGCCAGGGACCGCTCTCGGTCGGGCCAGGCCGCCCGAACACTCTCCGCCAGGCGGGCACGGCTCGCACTCCCACGGCACAGCGATTCGGCGCGCCCACGCACCCGGCACGCAGCTGCAGTTGGCGATTGTCGATGAGAACGCCGGCGCGGTGGTCAGCAGGGGACACGGCGCACACCGCTCCGGTGAGCTGCCTGCACCGGCACCAGCAGGTGGCGCCTCGGTGTAGTCATCACCGAGGCAAAACGCACACGGACCAGTCCGCGGAAAAGTGGGCGGCAGATAGGCACCCGGCGCGGTGCACAGCGCGCCCGAAGAGAGCAGCGCCCACGCCGAGTATCCACCGCCAAACCCAGTCGACTCGGCCTTCACCGCCACCGCAAGCTGCTGCGACGGCGCAAGGCCGCTGAGCTCGAGGACTCGCTCCGTGCCGGTCGGATACTCGACCGCGCTTGGTGCCGCCGCATCCAGATTGCTTGGCAGCGCACGGCCGTCCAACCCAAGCACACGCACTGTGTAGACAACTGTTGCGCCACCGAGCTCGTCCTCGTTCGACACCACATCCCATTCGACTACAACAGACGACGGCGTCACAGACTGTGCTCGCGGAGCATTGAGCTGCGCCGGCACACCATACACCACCATGTCGACCGTGACAGCCCGCGCAGGCATGTACAGGAGAAACTCAACCGAGAACAGGCCTGGTGCCGGCGGCGTCATGGTCAACTCGCCGCGAGTCGCATCCCACGACACCGGCATCGTCGCCAGCTCAACAGGCAAGTTGAGGCATCCAAAGGTCGGAAGCGACGATGGGCGCGGCGCGAGGCCAAGCGCGACCGTTACGCTCGTCCCCAGCGTCAGCTGCACCGGGATGGGATCGCGTGCCACCTCGGGATACGTCAGCGAGCCCATGACAAGCCCGACCCGGTAGTCGGGCCCCTCAATGACTGAGACCAAAAAGCTCGGGTACGCCCCGGCCTCACCCGCAACCGCCCCAAACATCATGTAGCCTGCGAACGCATAGCGGACCTTGTTCGCCACCGCAAGGACTGGCCACTGGCCGGGGTATCCCTTTCCGGAATTCGCCACAGCCACAGCGTTCGTTGCCGCGTCTGTGATGTTGACCTGGAGCCCAAAGAAGGTCTTCACCGTCGAGTCAGCAGCAAGGACTACCACACTGTCGGCCGCCACTACCATGGCCGCGTACACCTCGACCTTGGCCATCGTGATCGTCTCGAGCGACCCACAGCCCAAAATCGCCGAATTGTCGTGGTTGCACAGCATGGCCTGCAACTGTAGCGACGAGGTGAGCGGGTGCGCGATGAGCATGATCTTGTTGTTCTCCATCGGGAGAAGCGAGAACCGCGCGGCTTCCCAACGCCCGACATGAAGCGTGGCGAGAAGACCAGGTTGTCCGGATCACTGGCGTCGACGACAGTGATGTACACGTCTAGCGACGAGCTGATCTGGCTGAACGCATCAACATAGCCCATGGCAAAAATCGGGCTTCCGGCGACCACGCCGCGTGAGCTGGAGTAGTCATCGAGCCGGGCAAGCCCAACTCCATACGCCGACTGCATCACCACACCCTCGACATCGAGGCTTGTTTCCGACGACGCCTTGATCACCGTGTCCGTCACCGGATCGTACCGCAGGAGCAAGAAGATCTCGTCGACATCGCCAACGCCGACAAACTCGTTGATGATTGCCAGCACGTCCCAGCCGCTCAGGTATGCAAGTGAGCCGACAGCGCCGAACAGCGAGGACGCAGGCGTGCCCGAGCCTGCGCGCCGGCCCTCGGCCAGCACCCGCGTCATTGGCCCCACAGAGAGCGAGGCCACCGGCGGAAGCGCAGCAGGCCGATCTGGATTGACGCTGACATACGTCGAGAGGACTGTCACCAGCGCCGCGTCGTCGGACGCATTGCGGAACGCTATCATGAGCCTGCCATCAGGCAGCAGTGCAGAAGAAAAGAGAAAGAAGATCTCCGCCACCGGTACAGGCTCGGCGAGCAGCGCCACGGGCCCGCTGGGCGTCGTCGACGTCCCGTCCGTCGTGTTGTCGTACCAGTACAGCGAGGCCTCCAGCCTCGACGGCACTGTTTTGGCGTCGGTGCTCACCAACGCGGTGACCAGCAGCAGGTGCGGCCGGACCTCCGTCGCCACGGCAAAGTCGCTGTGGAGGGTGGGGAAGGTGTCGGGGGCAGGCAGCGGCGTCGTCGGCATCAACCCACCGGTCTCGCACGTCGGCAGGTCATACAGCTGGTTTCCGTTGGCCATGGCGCCATTTGGTGCCACCACCGCCACCGCCGCCATCGCCAGCAGAACTCCCAGCAGCGCAGTCGGTAGCATTCCGAAGGCGGGGGAGGGGGGGGGGGGAGAGGTGGAGGAGGCGGAGGAGGGGTTGT